AGTCTGAGTGTGTCCGTCCTGAGTCTGAGAGTCTTACTCCTTTTTATCCTGCCCTTCTTACTCCAATTCTGGTCCTCTTGATCTGAGAGGAAGGCGACAGGCGGGCGTGTGGCCCGTAATCCGCGCCAAGGCCTTTGTGGGAGGTTGCCCCACCGATTGCGGGAGCTTTGCCGGGGCTCAGGCGGAGTCCTGGAGGCAGGGAACTGAGTGGTAATCCCTTGACTCCCTCTATAAATCCAACTATAACCCCTACTTGTACATCTCTCTATGTTTGACTGAGTGTATTACGTGGATCCTGTACTTGGATCTGAGTTTGATTTTCAGGACGTAAGTCAGATTGAAGTAAAAAAATGTGTGGGCAAATCTCAATTTCAGTTTGATTAATTGCCTGAAAGCAGATTGCGAATGAAATGGGTTGCATCTGGGGGGGAGGTTGGGAGGAAGGCAGTATTGTGTGCAGATTGACTGGGTCACTAAGGCTGGGAGGTCTCCTTAAGTTTGGGGAAGCCCAGCGCTTTTTGGGTTGCATGGAGTTTCAGGCCGCTCTATATTAGGTAGCCTGAAGCTCTAGAGGCTGGGATGTCCCCATAACTTTGGGGAGACCTAGTGCTGTGAATTGCATGGAGAGTCAGGGCGCTCTATAAGTTTAGGTGTCCTGGCTGCTCTGACTTGTGAGGGTTTGACTGTGAGTGATTTTCAAGGACCCAAGGCGCTCTATAAGTTTAGGTACCTTGGGTTGCCTTGTTTTACTTCGGGGTTTTCTCTGCTTTTTTGTTTCTGAACGACGAGGTCTGAGCCGCTCTATAAGTTTAGGTGGTTCAACCCTTCTCCTGTTTTGTTCTGAGGGAATAATTCTGGCGGGGGACAGGCCGCTCTATAAGTTTAGGTAGCCTAGCCTACTGCCTCGCACAGACCGGATCAGAGAGAAAAAAACCTTGCAAAGGATCAGACCGCTCTATAAGTTTAGGTAGTCTGACCCAATGCCTCGCACATGTGGAACCCAATGGGTATAATCTGACTATACTATATTACTATGTTATTGAGAAGAGGCTAGTCAGGCCGCTCTATCAGTTTAGGTAGCCTGACTATAGCTATCATAACTGAAGAGAGTATAACTAAGAGATATAAGTTAAGGTAAACTTGGGCAGACTGGGCAATGTTCTAAGTTGAGCGGCCCAGCTTTATGTCCCCTTTGAAGACTAAATTCAGAGAGGTATATACAACTTGGTTATTTAAACAGTTTAGGGCGACTAGAGTGGTCTAATCATACGCCCAAAGAACAAAGAAGTAGTTGTGCCCTCTAGTTGTGTATACGTGGCCAAGTCAGAACGCTCTATAATTTTAGGTATTCTGACTTTGGGCCTGACAAAGTTGGCTGCGCTGTGTAAGTTCCGGTGCCCTGACCTATGCCTTATGTAAGTTGGGTATGAAGGGTTAACTCACAGAGGAAGCATGAACTATTGTTTGCTAAAGAAGCTTGGGGTTGGTGAGAGTACTTACCTTTGTGGTTTGGCCTGCATGTGGCTGAGTGAGATTACTATTTGGTCTGGGTTTCAGGTTGATAGGTAGTTGCTTTAGAAACTCGCCACGTGCTAGAGCGATAGGAGTTATGTCAATTCCTTAATCTTTTGAGTTGACCTTATGTTACTTAGATCGATTCTTGCATTTTCTGAGACTCGTCTTATACTTGAACTTGTATAAATCTTCGTAAGCTACTTTCTCTACGGGAAGCGCTGTGGAAATTTCTACAAATTTAAGAAGTTAGACAAATCTTGACTTGTCAAAGTTCAGCTTGTCTTTTCGTTATACCAGACTTAGTAAAAATATGGAAAGCCTCCTTTTCTAAAGGGAGTGCTGCCCAAAGTTTTGTTAATTCAGGGAGATAGACAAAGTTGGGCTTTGGGAAGTCAAAGTTGGTCTCAAGTTTCAAACTTAGCCTTGTATGAATTTTGGGAAAGCACATTTCTAGGGGGAGTGCTGCCGAAATTTCTGCAAAATTAAGGGACTAGTCTAAATTTGTCTAAGTTGGACTCAGAGTTGGGGGCTGAGTTCAAGTTTTACTTGGTATAAATCTGGGAAATCCCCAATTCCAAAGGGGGTGCTGCCCAAATTTCTACTGGGGGTTAGACAAAAGTGGACTTTCCAGAGTTATAGATTACTTTTGCTTTTGACATTTGAGCTTATATAAATTCTGAAAAGCCTACGGGAAGCGCTGCCGAAATTTTCTTGATTTAGAGGAGTTAGATTATATTTTGACAGGTACCGATTCTAGTCAGTCCACCCTGAATAGGGAAGATTCTGCCATTAGTCTACTTTTGCTTTGGGCACTGGCTTAGAGGTAGGCTTGGGCTGAGTTGGTAAGTAGCGCTGAGTGAGAATGTGCTATGGAGGTTATCCCCCATATGTTGATGATTTAGCTTGGGCACTTGACTTAACTTGTGTTACAGGTCCTTTGGGGTGTCTCATTTAAGATCAGGACAAGATTCAACTTGATCCCTTGATGATCGTCCTCTGTTATCATTGATAACAGGTCGGTTGCCGGTTTGTCGGTCTTCGACTCAATCCCAACTCACTCTCCATGCTCAACCTAAAAGGCTTAAGCATTGGTGGTTTTACTGTTTGTTAAGGGTTTCACCCGGACTTTTATTGAATGGCCATTTGACAAAGGTACTGAGTATTTAATTGAGGTTGGTTGGAACGGCGATCGGGGCTTGCATGGCTGAAGAAAAGGGGTCTGAGCTTAGAGAATTGTTGGGGTAGACTCCGTGTAGTGTGCGTTTTGTCACTTGATTCTTGGTGTGGTTGCAGGTATGTCCTGTGGCTCGGATTTTGGATTTGGACTGCCTCGATTCCATATACATATACATGGTTGTGAGGAGTCTCACTTTGCCTATGAGAAGTGATCGTCATAACTCTACCCCCTTCTTGCATGTATGCGTGGGTATTCGTACGATGGGTATTCGAGGGGCCTAAGGGGCCGTGTTAGCAACAGCGTGGAAGTTGGGGCTGAGGGACAGGGAAGACCCTCCCTTCCGCGTACTTGTGTCTTGGGTTTTTTTTTTGTCGGACGTTGGTCCTGGCTCGGGATTCAAGGTCCTTGTCGAAGACATCCCAAACCCTTGGCCTTGAAGGGGAGGGGTCTCCCCTCGCATAGAGCCTATTTACTTCGGTCGGCGGGGCACCCCGCCTGAAGGGCAGAAGTGTCGCGAGGGCCGAACGGCGTATCCTTCAGCCGTTCAATATCGTGAGGGGTAACCCCTCGCGATGAGTTCCTTCAGCTATTCAATATCGCGAGGCCGAAGCCGTGGTTACCACATATGGTTGATATCAGTGGTTGGCACAAGGCTGGCCTGCGGCCGCGCAATTTTATATCAGAGCCCTTCGCGCGACGCCTCGCCGCCCCCAACATCTAAAAGTTATGGGACTGTCGGGCTTGCGCGTAGGCGCAACGCTTGGGATTATTGTAGGCCGTCGGCACCGCCTATAGAGGGGGAGTGTGTCCCAAGGCCATGAGTCTTTGTTTTAAAGGCTAGGAGACCTTGGCCCTATCCCCTCTTCCTGAGTTCGTGAGAGTCTTGTTGCTTCTCAGAGATTTTTATGGTTGGACGTTGTAGTCCGTGGCAGCCATCAAAGTCAAACTCCTTGACTTTCGCCCAGGCCCCGGGGAGGACTCACCCCTAGGGCCGCGAGAAACGACTACCACCACAGGCATTGGCCTGTGTACCACCCGCTCTGCATAAGGGTGCAGAAGAGGGTGTGAAGTCTCCAACCGCGCATGGCGGTTGTTCAGCGTGGAGGTATTAACACTCTAGGCGCGTGTCAGCAGACACGTGAGTGTCGAGCGCGACCCTCGAGATTAACGAGGACCGCGTGAGTATGGGTACTACACGGTACGTTGTCATCGCGACCGCTTGCGTACGCTTGCATTGCGAATCAGTATGAGTTAGCCCTGCGTCCGCGCGATTTTATACTTAGTCTCGCGTGCGATGCCCGTTTGACTTTTGTATTGGGAGGTTATGGGACGACTACCGAGGGGCTAGGCGCGTTGTCGCGTTGTTCGGGTAGTGCCCGCGTTGTTTGTGTTGTGGCATGTTGTATGTGCGTGCGTGTGTGCGCGTGTATTCTTTTTGTGTGTTCGTAGAGTGGTGTGTGCGTGGCGTGTGGGATGCGTCCTAGTCGACCGACGACGAGCCACGCTCAGGACTTCAGCCCCCAAGATGTCGGTTCACGTGCGGGTCCGATAGGCGTATTACCGCGCGTACCCCCCTTGCTACAGCGAACAAGAAACGTC